TTCAGACACTGTTTCTAAGCTTCAGCAGCCATCAGACCTGACTATGCAATCAGCAGTGGACCTGCTGCCACCCAGGACAGCTAGATTACTTCTTGGCTGGAGCTGCACCTCCCCATTCTGGGTTCTGGGGTCATAAGCACTCCTATTCCCAGAAAGAGCTGCCCAGACAGCCCACAGGAAAGCAATGCTGCTTCTTCCAAATTTGGGGTGAGTTGTACTTGTCTTGTAACTAAGCTATGGAACTGGGGAGCAGAAGAGAGGGGAGACAAGGACATGGAGGGGCTCTGCTGGCTTAAGAGAGCTTCTGGGCCTGGGACCCCTTTCCAGTCTGCCAACAGGGCAGGAACTGAGTTATGAAGTTATAACAGACAGCTCTGCCCTCTGACCCAGCCAGACATGATGGGTTAGATCCTGGGAATAGGCTAATCAGCCAGTCGGTAGGTCCCAGTTGGGGAGAGCACATCTGGAGCTTGGAGCATCATGGTTGGAAATAGACTAGGATAAACATAGGGGAGTCTCCTGGGAGCATGGAGCCAAAGCAAACTAAGGGGGAGGCTCCTGGTTGAGCTGTTACTCTGGCCTGGCTGGGCTGGGAGTGGGGCAACAGGCAGAGGAAGACAGTGGGGTGGCTGTACAGAGAATCCATAGGTAGTCCATGGGAAGAGAGATGAACCAGACTGGTGGGATCTTTCACTCAATCTTCAGTGACAAAGAACAAACAACTGAGAGTCATATGCTGTCTTCATCCTACCTAGGAGTATTTCCATTTACTTACCTACTCAGTAGCAGACCAAACATGGCTAACTTTGAATGGGTCCCTTAACAGCAGATGACTGGGTGAGGGTGGGCAAGTCATTCACCCTTTCTGGTCTTTGTTTCCTTCTCCCCAATACAGGACTGGATTCTTTCTTCAGACCCTACAGACATCTCTCTTTTTATTCATTCCCTCACTTCCCTCCTACTCAGGGCAAACTGCATGTCTTAATTTCCTGGGCCACTCCCTATACATTCCTGCATCTCTGCCCTAACCATGAGGGTCCCTCCCCTAAATGCCAATTCTTTTCTGCTGATCCAGAACTTCTTTACTTGCTGGAATAACACAGAGCCCTAAGAGGGCAATTACTGTGCCTGCCATTGTATAAAATGATTGATAGAAAGTACTTCTGATATTGTGTTTTAAACAGTCCTAGAAAGACAAGAGTTTGATACTATACCATGAAAATAGAAAAACAAAACAAAACAAAACACATCCTGTGATTAAGCCTATATAAAGGTGTGCACACCCAAGGGAGGAAAAAGGCGCAGAATTAAAGAGCCACTCCAGGGCCATGGGATAGGATGGGAAGGTTGGTGATTGTTAGGTCTCTACTATGACTGCAATTTTCTAATACAAACCTGTTTCTGGAATTAAAGATCCAGTGTTTTCAGATCCTCTGGCCCCACCTACTCCTTGAAGCCTCCCTACTTCCAGCCCACAACACTTCCCTCTTTGAATTCCTACAGTACAAGTTTCTACCCCTCTTCTTACATGGAGCAGTACAGCACCTAGTGTCAGGCTCTGGAGCCAGTGTCAGAGGCCAGTTCTGGGTGGGCCAGGTCCCACCTGGCTCTCCCATTCAGGCTTCAGGTTCTTAGACAGGTTGCTTACTCCCTCAGTGCCTAAGCATCCTCCTCTTTATAAACCCTGGTAACCCTCCTGCTCATGGGGTACTACAGAACCCCTGAGACCACAGCTGAAGCCATCTGCACAGTGCTAGGCTCTTCCTAAGTGCTGGTATTTTTATTGTTAGTGTGACTGGCATCTTGCACTGCTCTCCGGGTGGCCTGGCATGTAATCTGAGAGATTACTCAGGACCTACACTACTGGGTGCCCAATGAAGATAATCCCTCACCCCCACCCCCTACCTGGCTCTTTCCCATGTATTCTACTTCTTTCCAGGCACACCAGGTAAAAATGTCCCCTTGCCCAGAGGTAACAGTATTCCAGGCAAAGACAGCCAGAGAGTTGAACATCATCACCCTGGCCCCTTAACTAGGTCTCTAGTGAAGCCAGGGTCCTTTACTCAGGTTGGGAGATTTCTTGATGAAGGATTAAGGTATGGGAACATGGCACAGAGAAGACAGTATGGCCTTCCCTGTGTACTGTCAGTAGAGGTGCCTTGGCCTCAGGTTTTTCATCTGTGAGGTAGAGAGGGCAGGGAGGTCATCTTCCTTGCAGAGCTCTTACAGGATCACATAAGACAAGACTTGGACCTGAGTTTCCAAGAGCACGAATGCTAGACACATGTGGTGGAGATTAGTGCTGCCATTTATCTGCCACTACACACTGCCCCAATCCTTGACCTGCTCCAGATTCCCTGTCACTGCCAAGGTCAGAAAGAGTGACTCATTACAGGAGCAAAAGCCCTAAGCTCAGACAAAGGATACCCTTGCTGCTCCCTGGATGGGATGAGTAGAAAAGGACCCAGAGAAAAGCAGAGGGGTGTGTCACAGATGGGTTCTTCCCCACCTTTCCATCAAGCTACTTGAGCACCCCTGGGTCCTGGCCCAACCTCAAGGCTGCCTTTGGTTCTGCCCCCAGGGCCCACTGAAGGCGAACAGCCTAGGCTTCAGGGCTGTTGTCAGCTTCCTTTCTTGGACATGTGACAGTTATGGGAACAGGCTGCTCCATGGGTCTGTGGGGCCTAGCCATGCAGGATGGCTAAGTGCAGACTGTCCATCCAGCCTGGCCATCTCTGGTGCCTCTGAGGGCAGCCACCGTACAAGACTTTATGAGCCATGGCACACCCCAGGAGGAACACTACCCCTCTCCGATCCATAGGAGGCTAGTGAGGTGGCTCCATATCTGGAGGCCAAGGGGACTGAGTGCTAGAGAACTTCAAAGACCTCTAGGGGCTTTGGGCTCTGAGCTGCCCACTCACTGGGGCCTGATCAACTGGCAGCAGGAAGGTTTGTGTTTCTTTTAATATCAACTCCCAGGCATTTAACATTCCTCGAAGCTTAAACACAGAAACAGTTCCCTTAACAGACTGTGCTTTCTACTTTGCCAAACACAACCTGGCTGTCTCCCCTCCCCCATCACCTCCATCTGCTCCTGTCTCTAAGATTCAATGATTTATGGTGCTTCCCCTGGGACTGTGTAGCTCAGTAAGAGAGGAAGTGACAGGGCTGCAGTCCAGGCAGAAGACTGATGCCTCCTGGCCTGGAATCCGAGTTGTACAGAGGCTGTGAGCCACAGTGCCCACTGAGCTGGCTGCCCCGGTCACCTTTTCATTCCATAGCCATCAATGGCCCAGGCAGTGTGGCAGCTTCTCACGTTTCTTGGCTGGGTGTCTCTTGGGGCTGGACAGGTCAGCCTGGAATCCATTTCCTGCCCGTCCCTCTGGCCTAGCCCAAGGATGTGGCAATGGGGCTCCTGCTGCTTAGAGAGCATGTGCCAGGGACTGGATTGAGAGAGCTTTCTGTCACCATCCTCATTTCCTAAAAAATGAAAGGCTGGTGTGTGGTTGCCTAGCAGCACTGTTTCCCTAGTGATGGTGCTGAGGAGCAGGTCCCGGGTCCCTCAGCACCAGGAAGGACATGCTCAGGTACATGGACATAAGACAGATGGCTGGGCTTCTACTGAAGAGCACCACTCTCCTGCTCAGATACTGCAGCTTGAGATAGGCAGGGGACAGGGGACATTCACACAGGTAATGTGCCACAAAGGACTTCCAGACGAGAGCCAGATACCAGCTTCAGCATGCACCAGAGAACACTTCTTGCAAAAAGCATACCGAGTTCCCTGTTTGGAGCTATCTTAACTTATGCCCAGAGTTCCCTGTTTGGAGTTATCCTAGCTTATGCCCAGAGCTCCCTGCTTGGAGTTATCCTAGCTTATGCCCAGAGCTCCCTGCTTGGAGTTATCCTAGCTTATGCCCAGAGCTCCCTGCTTGGAGCTATCCTAGCCTATGCCCAGAGCTCCCTGCTTGGAGCTATCCTAGCCTATGCCCAGGTCATGTCAGGGGCAAGGATTACAAATCCTAGAGAACCCATGCCTGTGGCTCAATCTTGCCATTATTTCCCTTGATTTCATGATATGCCCACTGTGTCCTAAGCATGAGGACACATGTTGCCAGGCAGCAGTGTGAATGGCTTCATGCTAAATGTTAACCATCCTTCAAGCCTACTTTTCAAGAAGGTAAGTAGATAGTGGCCATCTTCAAAACTGGCAAAAATGAAGCAGATGGTGGCACACACCTTTAATCCCAGCACTCAGCTGGCAGAGGCAGGAGGATCTTTGTGAATTCAAGGCCAACCTGGTTTATGTATCAGGGCTATATAGTAAGACTCTGTCTCAAAAAAAATAAAATAAAATAAAACCACCACCACCACCACCAAACCCAGCAGAATGTTCCAGAGGCACAAATCCATCCAAGACTCTTTCCCTATGTCTGTCTTCAGAACACCAAGAAACACAACTGAGACATATGCACTCAGTCTGAGGATCTGACACTACTGACATCCAAAGGACCCATGCTAAGACAATGACTCCCAAACACAGGTGAGGACAGTCCAGCAACTTGGGAGTCCAGCTCAGCAAATCCCAGGTCCTCTGGTAGAACGGTTAACACTGGGGAATGTGTGACTACCTCCTGTCTCACACCAGACAGTGCTCATTACAGATAGCCCCTCTCTCTTCTGCTCATGACAGCCTCAGGATGCTCCTTAACACAGAAAAAGCTGCCAACAGGCTGAAAGTGAGTGTGAAAACAAAGTCATGACCACCTTGCAAAAGCTCAGATGATCCACCTGAGCCAAGAATGGAGGCCTGGGCACCCAGGTACCTGTGGGCAATCAGGACACAGCAAGTAGTTGGCACCTGTAGGGATAAACCATCATCTCAGAGAATTTAACTCAGCTCTGAATCAGTCAAAAAAGAGCAAGATGATGAATGAGAAGAATTTCTCAACTGTACCACACTGACCCTCAGCTCCCTAGGCCTCACCCTGGCGCCTCACCTGGATCTGCCCTTTGCCCATGATCTTATCCACGATCTCATTGTTGTCCTTGTTGACCTTGGTTTTGTCGTAGCACTTCTCATAGCACAGGATCCTTAGGGACTGGGAGCCTTCCAGCTCAATCTCAAATTCCTAGTGACAGATAGGACAAAGGGTCTTGAGCTTCTGAAGCTGGGATGTGTGGCTTCTCAGCAAGTATAGACCCTGGTTTTGCAAGGCTGGGGTGAGCAGGGCCCAGGAGGACCACATCATAAAACAGAGGAACACTAGCATTTTATAGAGCTCCCAGAGGCTTCTATGATGGAATGGTGTTTGAGGATCTGAGCTGAAACAATAGTCTAACACCCACCAACATAAATACTGTCTTGTAGACAGATGACCAGTAGGAGGTGTGGGGTTAGGGAGGCACAGTTGGTCCAGCCAGTGGGGATGGCTACTCCAGCAGAGGGGCATGCTCTGGATCAAAAACTGGGACAGCAGTCTCCTCCACTCACCTCATCCCACTTAGGCTCTGTCGTGTCTCGAAACACCCTGGTTTTGGCTTTGCTGACAAAATAGCCAAAGGAATCCACCTCCAGAGTACAGTACAGGTCTATAGAGGAAAGGACAGACATACCAAGTAAGGCCTAGAGGTACAGGAATAGGGCTGGCAGGAATGGTGGTAAGGGGCTCTAAAAGGTAGGGCCTGCCTGGGCTTCAACATTAGGGGAACATGGATCCTACTGCATCCCTACTGACCATGCAACTGGGTAAGTCCCTGGACCATCAGCTTCCCCATGTCGAAAGCAGAAATGATATTAGTGACCATAGGGAGATGCTAAAGAACTGGGGCATGTAATGTACAAGTGAAGGCCTTGAATATGTCAAGGCACTGGCCACATGCTGGCTGTGCTCTTGTTTTCACCACATACACTGTAGGTGCTCTGGAAATTCACAACATCACTCAGCCTTTCTGAGCTCCTAGTCATCCAGGGATAAAGGAGACCTCATTCCTGCCTTCGAAGAGCTCATAGCAGGGGAGGATAAATCATAAGGGACACAACAGCATGACAGGTGCCATGACTGTGGCTCATTCTGCGTGCAATGAGGACACAAAGCCAGTTTACCCTAGGAGCCAGGGGAGGCTTCCCAGCAATGCTAACTGAATGGCTATTTGTGGGCCAATAGCATAAACTTGGTGAGGCGCTCAAAAGGAAAAGCAGGGCAAATCAAGTCTGCAGTAGAGGAAGAGAAAGCAGTGAGAAGGGGCCAGGACTCAGGAGCCCTGTATGATATTAAATCCTTTCACACCTCTGTGACTCAGTTTCCTCACTTGTAAATGGAACTACAAGCTGTCCAACTGGATGAGAAGTAAATTAAGAAGTTTAATTGGGGCTGGGGATATTGCTCAATAATAAGCACTCGCCTAGCATCCCTATTACCCTAAACACCATACACATAGAGCAATTTTTTTTTTTCAGAGCTGAGGACCGAACACAGCTCTACCACTGAACTAAATCCCCAACCCCACACATAGTAATATTTAAACCTACTCTTAGGTTGGTATAAAGAAATGTGATTACCTGTTATGGAGAAGGAAGCTGAAGTTCAGAGAGGTTAAAAATTTTGCTCAGGGTCACACAGCCTGATACTGGCAGATACAGGCTGGAGTCTAGTACCTGCAGCTCTAGAATTCTGTAGGTAAGGCTTGGGGAGAGCAGATCGCAAAGGGGTGACTTTCCTGCCAGAGGAAATGACTTCTGGCCTTTGAGGGCAAGTCCTACAATTCCAGGCATTCTGGCAGGGCCCTAGCATGGAAAGACCAAAGCCGAACAGGTAGGAGATGGAAGCCTGGCAAAGTGGGGCCATATGGACTTGCTGTGAAAGAAGGACAGTAACCACCAAACTTCCTCCTAGGGCTGAGAGGGACACTTACTGGCTGATTGTTTAAACCCCTTGGCAGAGTGAACGATGACATGAAGGAAGCCGTAGAGTCCTGGAGACTCATCATCTGCAAGACAGGAAAACCCCAAGGATGGGTATGAGAAGCTCAGTGGCTTCTGGGGGGTGGAGGCGGGGGGGGGGGGGTTGGGGACAGTAGCAGGGCTGTGGGATGGCAGACAGGGCCTGAGCCTTGGTCTGCAGCACCATCTGGTGGCCAACTGGGGAAAAAATTCAGAGCCTACTGCTTTCCCACAATGTGAGCTGCCCCAGGTAGGGGAAGAGGCCTTTCTTCCCTCTGCTCAGGTTGTCAGCCAGCCCAAATGTCTTGGGCCAGACATTTAGTATTATTTCCCATTATACCCTCCCTCCCTCTGAACACAGCCTATCCCATGGCTTCCCTCCTCTGTATAACTTTTCAAGATAGAAATGGACTAATTTAAGTCACTTTTGTCCTAATGGCTCAGCTTGACCCCTTGCTTGGTACACCAGGGTCTCCAGGGGACCTTGAAGAGCCTTCAAAACAGCTTTCATGCTGGCTGTGAAGAAACATGCTTGTAATCCCAGCACTGGGAGGCAGAGACAGGAGGATTGTGAGTTCACAGAGTAGACATTTTCCCAGTACCAAAGAAGCATACTTGGGCCAGTTTCCAGTCCCATCACAGCCCTCCCCACTCAAAAACCTCCCACAGGCTCCTGGAATTAAAGCATGTCCTTTGAACTCTATTGCTTAGCATTCCAGGCCTTCCAAGATCTGGTTCTTGCCAGTTATGGTGGTGCACGCTTTTAATCCCAGCACTCGGGAGGCAGAGGGAGTTGGATCGCTATGAGTTTGAGTCTAGCCTAGTCTACATAGCGAGTTTCAGGTCAGCTGGGGATACGGGGAGATGCTGTCTCAAAAAGATTAAAAAAAAAAAAAAGAAAAAGATCTGGTTCCTAAAATGCGTGGCCTGATTTCTCATAGGCTATTCTACCTACCATCTCATCTACCCCAACCCATCCTGGAGCCTTTCTGTGACTTCCTCATGAACTTCATCTCAGTACTCCAGGGTACAGATTCTTGTCTCAGGCCAGAAGGGGCCTAGGAATGCCTGAGGACTCAAGTGAGTACTGCCCATTTACAATCTGTGCTCCAGGCAAAAGCAACAGACCCAGCCATGTTGGGCAGAGAGTTTAGCCATGTGTATCCTCTACAGTCTTTGAAGAATGCATCCAGCAATGTCCTGGGGGCCTGGACCTGCTGGTTGGACAAACTGAAGTTCTGGTTGGATAAACTGAAGTTCTAGATCTTACCATCTTTATTGCTGGTGACAGGAATGTTGTGAACAGTCCTAAGCTTGAAACAGGATCCCGTGAGCACCTGGAGCTCCACTGAGCTCAGGACAAAGGCCTGGAGATCTGTGGGAGGAGCCAAGAGGGGAAGGGGCTTCAGTGCAGGTTCACTAGGACCTGCTGCTCTTCCAGGAGCTGCTTTAAGAAAACCAGCTTGGATACTAGGGAAGCAATGAGAGACCTGTAGGCATTCACAGAGGCACAATACCAGAGAGGAAAGAACAGTAAGAAAAGAGGCTCATGCATGCGAGTAGAAGCAAAAGCAAGTACCCAACCTGGAGTTCTTGGCCAGGCCTATAAAGAATTCACTGTATGCCCTAAACAAGTCATTTAAGTGCTCTGGGCCTCAGTAGGATCCATGGAGTGCTACCTACTCCAGAACCTCAAAGAGTGACTATGAGGGCTGAAGAGAGATATTGGACATGAAAAGCTTGGAAATATAGAAGGCCCTTCACTATCATGGATGCCTTAAGAGAAGTGTGGAATGGGACAAGACTTTACCCTTCTTCTGTAGTTTCTGAATCGCTTCTCTCCACTCCGACCTCTCGTAGTCAGAGGACAATAGGAACAGATAGCTCTGGAAAGAGGAGAGAGGAACTCAGTGCAGTGACCACAGCCAGACCAAGCATAGTCCCAGCTTCTGGACTCCCCAACAAAGCCTTTTCTTACTTGGGCTTCTCTGAGACTGAAGGAGAAGGGAGCCAGGGTAGGGCTGTTCTTTTTAGGAAACCAGGTGACAAGAGTGACAGTGACAGTGAAAAGAATGGCCAGTTGAGGGCACTGGTTTCCTACCAGCAGAGAAATGTCCAGGGCTAGAGCTGAGGCAGCCTTCTTGGGAAATGGGGGCCAAGTCCCTGATTCCCATGGGTCAGTGCCAGAAGCCACAGAGAATGGGCAGCCCAGGACTATGGAAGGGGGTATCCTTGTCCCTTCCCATCCTTCCTGACCTTTCCATTCCGATTGTGTATCCGAAACGGGATTGTGGGGGAATTGAGCAGCAGCAAGAACTCATTCTCAAACATCTTCTTTTTGAGGCGCTCGATGGCACGGCTCTGTCCCTTGTTGGCTTTCTGCAGGGGATGAGGCACAGATGTTTTCCCGCACAATCAGACTCCACTTCTCAGTCACTGTGTGTTAATTATTTTTTTTTTCCTAAATACCAGATTTTGACATCTGGGCTTAGGTATGCATCTCCAAGAGCCAGCTAATTCCTAAGTAACCCTCCTGTGAGCACACTGTTCACACGCCACTAACCCAAGGCCCTGGCCCCCCAAACTCCTTTACATAACCCTCACCACTGGGGCCAGGATTTCCTCTCCCAAGTCACCTAAGGTCAGGGACCAGACAACTACATCACCCAAAGTCCAGAGTCCCCCAGCAGTATTGGAACTAGCGGGTCCTAAGCTGTTTTTTCTCTGCTCTGCTTCACCATGGAAATTCCAATGACCCTGCAGCCTGAATATCTCCCCTGCCTCCTAACCAGTCCTGCAGCTTCCAGGTGGCCCAGGTAGTGTAGTAAGAACCCTCTTAGAAACTATAAGTAATAAAAAATCTTCCAGTGGCATTAGGCTCAGCACTGTCCCTTGGTCTCCTCTACTAGAAAACTCTCAGACTACCTTTTGGCAATGGAGCTCCAGCTGCTGGGCTGGCCGGAGGGCCTCCATGGTTGGGTTCCAGTCTCTGGGCCTGGCCTGTGGACCCACACACCCTCAAGCTCAGTCCTGCTCTCCAACAAGTCCACTCCTCACTGCCAAAGTAGCCTGCTTGCTTCAATCTTCCTACTTTCTGCTTCATTGAGGAATCTTTCTGTGCTCTGAGTGTCACCACAGTCCTCAAGCTCCTTATTTGGATTAACCTAATCTTTTTTTCTTCTTCTTCATGTGTGTATGTGTGTTTGTGTGGGCACACATGGGCAGGCCCAAAGTTGATGTTGGGGATCGTTATCGTTCTTCCTCTTTATTTTCTGAGGCAGGGCCTTTCAGTCAAACCTAGAGTGGGATGATAGGGCTAGTCTCATTAGCCAACTTGCTCTGGAGTTCCTTTTTCCTCTTCCCAAGTACTGGAATTACAGGAGGGCTGCCACACCCATCCAGCATTTGCATGGGTTCTGATGATCTGAACTCTGGTCTTCTTGCCTACAGGGTAAGTACTTTATCTACCACACCATCTCCCCAGCCTTTAACATAATCTTTTCCTTCTTTGAGACAGGGTTTCATTATGTAGCCCTGGCTGGCCTGGAACTTGCTATGTAGACCAGGCTAGCCTCAAACTCATAGCGATCTGTCCACCTCTGCCTCCCTAAAGGCATGCACCACCATGCCTGGTAACAATCTTTTTACTGTTTTATTATATGTATATGAATGTTTTGTTGGCATGTATGAATGTGTACCATGTGCATGTAATGCCACTGGAGGCCAGAAGAGGGCATTGGAGCCCCTGGAACTGGAGTTATAGACAGTTGTTAGCCACAATGTGGGTGCTGGGAATTGAACTCTAGTCCTCTGGAAGAGCAGCCAGTGTTCTTAACCACTGAGTCATCTCTTTAGCCCATTAGTCTGGCAAAATTCTAAGGACTCTAAAAACCAACTAGAAGTAGTAATAACTTTCTTAGCAGTGACTCTACCAATTAAATGTACACAACTGTCTAGCCACATCACTTGTAGAAACTCTCCCACAGACATGGATGGGAGGAATGTGCACTATAGACCTGCCTCCGACAGATAAGAAACCAGGAGCAATTCAAAACCAAATATACGGCTTACAGTCAAGACAGAAGAATATGCCCCAGGTGTAGTTCTATGAAAAACTTAAAAAGTAGTAGAACATTGTCTTGTTTCATTATGGAAAAATACAGATGTTTATGCACACATATAAATTCATATCCCTGTGCAAACATAGAAAAGTCTTGAAACGTCGAAAGCTGTTAACAATGAAAGGTGGGTAATGAACACTTTTACTGTATACACTGGTATTATAAGCATTTCTTACTATATTAAGCCAGTATATTGATGACCAGAATTTTTTTTTTTTTAATTATTAGGACCAGTGACATGGCTTAGCAGGTAAATACCAAGTCTGATAACCTTGAGTTCAATCCCTGGGACCGACATGGTAGAGGGAGAGAACCAACTTCCAAGTTATTTTTTGATCTCCACACGCATGCCGTGGGTGGTGGCCCATGCCTTTAATCCCAGCACTCGAGAGGCAGAGGTTGGTGGATCTCTGTTGAGTTCGAGGCCAGCTGAGGATATGAGGGAGACCCTGTCTCAAAAAGATCAAAATAAAATGAAATAAAATACCTTTAAAAATTATTATTTTATAACTACATAATTAGAAGAAGTATTTCATTATAACAGCATTGACATATTCAATAATAATTTCCAGAGCTAAGATGCATCTCTTCAAAGTTGGCTGTAAATTTTTAGGTTTACAGTTGCATTAATACAGTTACACAATATTGTACTCAGTATAAACCCTATATGACATAAAATTGAATGAGGTTTTAACCTTTAAAAAAGATCTCCATTTCATTATTAAAATACACTATTTCATTTTTAATGCAACTAACACATAGATGTTTGTACATGTATCTCTAATCTCTATATATCTGATTATTACTAGTCATAGTTGGTTACTTTCTGAGATCCTAGGCACCTGAGCACAGATATAAAGTCATCAGGTAGATTTCAATGAAAATAGCTTTCAAAAAAATAAATCTCAGGGCTGGAGAGATGGCTCAGCAGTTAAGAACACTGGCTGTTCTTGCAGAAGACCCGGGTTCGAATCCCCGCACCCACATGGCAGCTAACAACTGTCCTTAACTCCACTTCCAGGGGATCTGACAGGCTCTTCTGTCCTCCGTGGACACTGCACGACACGGGTGCACTTACCTACATGCAGGCAATACATGCATATACATAAAATAAAAATAAATAAGATATTAAGAATAAATCTCAGCCAGGTACGGTGATATAGACCTATAATCCCAGCACCTAGGAGCAGGTTGAAGCAGGAAGATGGAGAGTTTGAGGTCAGCCTGGGCTACATAGTGAGTTCAAGATCAGCTTATGCTATCTTGAGTGAGACCCTAAGACTTCAGGGACACTTGTGCCTGCCTAGTGACTCCTGTCACGTGAGTCATGCCCTATATTTGGCACTGCTTTCACCTTCTCTACTGGACAAAAAGCTTTGTAAGGTGTCAGGCAGCCAGTGGGGCTCAGTGAGTGTTGGCCTAACTAAGCAGGCCACCCATGCATGCAGGAGGACAAGCACACGGCTTGCTGACTCCCAGGCTTATGCAAAAATATGCCTGCAAGATAGGATGCTTCTGGGGTGGGGGTCATGGGTGGCAGTGCCAATGGGGAAACAGGCTCATCTGGAGCAGGCTGGACTCCAGTCTTTCAGGAAGACACCTGTACTGATGATCACAGTGGTCCCTCTAGGAAGATGCACCCCTCGTCAGATTTCAGGGTATGGATGCCCTTCTGCCTCAAATGATCCCTAAAACTGTGGTCTTCTTTCTTTTGTTCAGGGAGATATTTGATCTGGGCATAGTGGCACATGCTTTCAATCCCAGCACTCTATAGGCAGGGAGGCAGGCAGAGCTCTGAATTCAAGGCCAGCATGATCTATATGGAGAGTTCTAGGACATCTAGGGCCACACAGTGAGAGCCTGACAAAACACAAAACATATAGAAAGATGTTTGCATTAAAAGGATTCTCAGAGGTCATCTGGTTGTATATTTCTCTACAGGCTCATATGAAGCAGCTGCTCATGAGGTGCTAAGCATTTGGAGCATAGGGCTGGAGAAAATGGCCAAGCCACCGGAGTTCAAATTCAAGTGTGGAAGAGAAAAAGCTGACCAGACACTTAAAATTAGAACCATGAAAGCAAAGCCGAGGGGAACATGAGGAAGCAGGCACCTGACCCACACTGTGGAGTGGAGGGTGTTGCAGAAGTTGTCTGTCTATCATCTAATCTAATCTAATCTATCTATCTATCTATCTATCT